CAACATTTTAGATAGCTTACAATAAACTGCATTAAAACCAAACAACAGAAACTACTAAGCCTTTCTTTAGAAGCACAAGTTTAAAAAAAAATAATAAACATTTCACTGCACAGAGCCACCCCACAACCTAAGGTAGTCTCCAACAGATGGACACGGATTTCTCGGGATGCTTCCCAACAAAACGAAGCCACAAAGCATTTCCCTGCTGCCCCCGCCGAGGCTGAAGGGAGCAATGTAATCCTCTTCCTCTTCCTGGTCTTCCTCTCTCCAGGTGCCTCTGGATTGTTTCATCCATGCAGGGCGCCCTCCTCTTCCTCCTTTAACTCCTCTTCCTCCTTTAACTCCTCTTACTCCTTTTCCTCATCCTTCCTCATTTTCCTCCTCTTCTTCCTTTTTCTCCTCTTCCTTCTCTTCCTCTTCCTCTTCTTCCTCTCTCCAGGTGCCTCTGGATTGCTTCATCCATGCAGGGAATCCTCATTTTCCTCTTTTTCCTCCTCTTCCTCCTGCCATGGGCACTCCCTGGAGGGCTCGCCCAGCTCTCCGCAGGCCCTCTGGACTTCCCTGTTCCCGGGGAACATCCCTATGGATCCCCATCACGACGGACCCCCCCGGGCCGTGCCAGGACAAGGAAAGGGAATCCTGAGGGATCCCGGGACCCCTTTGGAGCAGAGGCCCCAGGCCCCACATCTGGCCAACAACTGCCGGCCCTACCTCGACCTCCCCGCTCACCCCGAGCCTCCCTTTTCCCTTTTTTTCCCTTCCCAGCCACGCATTCTTCAGCCCAAACAACATTCTTGGATGGAGATTTGAGGGAATCTGGAGGGAGTCGGTCACCCGGAGACGGAGCAACAGCCGAGCGAGCGGCTGGAAACTCTGAGCGCGGCTGCTCCGGCCCAGCTGGATGCTCCCGGAGCTCCTGGAACCGCCAGATTTCCATGGGAGGTGCTCCACAGCTTCCCTGGCACGGGGCGAGCTGCCCGCGCTGAGGGAGGGACAGAAAATCCCACATCGGCCCTTCCCGGCCCCGGCTGGGGGCTGGGAGATGCTGGGAGATGCTGGGAGATGTGGGGAAATGCTGGAAAATGCTGGAAAATTTTGGGAGATGCTGGAAAATACTGGAAAATGGTGGGAAATGTTGGGAAATCGCTGGGAGATGCTGGAAAATGCTGGAAAATGGTAGGAGATACTGAGAGATGCTGGGAAATGTTGGGAAATGCTGGAAAATTTTGGGAGATGCTGGGAAATGCTGGGAAATGGTGGGAAATATTGGGAAATGCTGGGAAATGCTGGAAAATGGTGGAAAAGGGTAGGAGATACTGGGAGATGCTGGGAAATGTTGGGAGATGCTGGAAAATGGTAGGAAATGTTGGGAAACGCTGGGAGATGCTGGAAAATGCTGGGAGATAC